TGCGTGAGAGGAACGTTACCAAGACGCCGATGAATCTCGCCGATCCCTCTCTTGGGAAAAGCGAGATCGATCGAATCGCGAGCGAGAGGCGGATTTCCGGCCAGCCGGTTTCGCGAGTTACGACCAGCCGTATATGAGAAGCGCGAATTTCGAGGAGAAAGAGAAGAGGAAGAAAAAAAGAGATAGGCAAGACAGATGTACATGGGCAGGAGGAAGAGAGGCAGGCAGAAAAGCGAGGGTGTCCGTGCTCCCTGCGCTTCTTCGTCGTGCACAATGGGGGGAGAGAGAGAGAGGAAAGAGGAAAACGCGAGACATCACCCTGGACGATAATGGTATAGAGAGCAGAGAATTATACTGTAAAAGTTCGCGCACACGACTGGCCGTACATCAACGCACTCGGTTGTTCCAATCCGCGATAAACGAGGACACAGGATGTATCATATGTCCTCTCACGCGATTCTCAGGCAAGTTGCTCAATTCGACTTCTGTGCATGATTTAGCACACCGCGCCCTCGTTACATATATACCGGTTCTTTCTCGCACCAACAAAAAAAACACGTCACGGCTACAATGGGCTTTTTATTATCTGGGATCTGAGGGTGACTCTCGTCCCGGATTGGCAGAGGTAAACGCAATCGTTTCACTGTTGCCAGAAGAAACAGCCCAAGACGGTTCCGAGTCTTCGGGTGATCGTTCCTTCGGACAGGCGTGAACGCGTTTACCTTTACCCTTTCTCTCGTCGCCGGAACGCTTTCGCGTGTTTCCGCGACAGAAAATATTCACGAGAGAAATATAAAATTAAAAAAAAAAGAGAGATCTACGCGCTGCGAACAACGTGGCGCAACTCCGGTCCTAGGATCGCGAACTCGGCGTCTCGTCGTTTGGAACAAACGAAAACTCTTAGACCAACAAACGTGCGTGAAGATATACGGAATGCAAGAAGCGATAACGAAATGTGTGAGAGAGCTTTTGATGTTGAGATTCCAAAATTAAAAAAAAAACGGAGAGACGCGTTTTCCGTGGAGCAGAGGAGCCTAAACAAAGGACCCCCGATCGCGATGACTTGAAGCGCGATTTTAAGTGTCTCGGGGCCCCTCTTCCTCGAACGGCACGAAAAAATAGATTCAAGGCAACAAGTCTCTGACGTTGAAAAAAAAACGACCTTTGCTATCAATGCGAGCATCTGTCCAATGTAATCTTTCTTTCGAAAGTGTATCGCGCGCGACACATGACACACTCTGACATAGCATATACGACGAAAAATGGAGGCAGAACGCAATATTCGTCTACCGCAACAAGCTTAGCAAATGAGATCACTCTCGCGATTCCACGGGCACCTGGCGCGTAAGGACATCGCGAAAAGAATCACCGTCATCGATTAACACGTCAGGAACCGCGCGATCGCGAGTACGAATTCGAGATTTAGCAACGCTAGCATTGACAGAGAGGCCGCTCCTCTCTCTCCGAAATTACCTTGATTCCCACGTTGGATCACCGCATTAGGGCGATCATGTACCTTAAAAGCTAACGAAAAAACCGACCGTGCCTAAAAAAAAAAACCCTCCTACTATTCCATCTAAACTAATAAAGATATTAACGTTTATTTTTTTACGCTCTATTCTTCTCTCTCAATATGTCTCTCCTTCAAAGATTATCCCTTCACGTTTCATTTCTTTCGAGACTGCTCTAACGAAAATTAAAGGGAAATTGAATTGTATCGTCCCTATAGTAAATTGTTATCGCATCGCGTATAAACGCAATAATTTTATATTTCGATTTGTAAAGGCATCATCCGATCACGAAAGATACGGCGCGCCGGGCGGACGATTTCCGGCTCAGCCATCTGGGGCGACCGGTATCCGGCTGCATCAGCTGCTCAGTGTGCAGCTGTCGTACATTAGCAGATGCAAGCAAGCTGGTCTCCGTCGTCTCGGCAAGAAACTTGCATTGCCAACCAACCGAAATAACCGACAAAAATTTCTTATTACCTTCTTCACGAGCAAACGGAAAAGAAATTGGCCGAAACTGTTCCGAACTTTTGTTAAATTATTCTATTAAAAGTGTCATTTATTACGTATATCTAATAAAGTTAGATACTTGTCATATTGTCAATTTGTTATTAGCCTCGTTATGGTAAAACTGGTGAAACTATCGTTACCTATTGTACTGCTGAGAAACTGTACAGCAGCCTTTCCGTTTGATTGTTACGTAATATACATAATCGCCTTGATACAACAATTCAACGCGCTTATACACGAATTCGCGATAAATCTGGGTCATCAGTAAACCACGACGGACAGTTGAATTTATTTTCTTATTAGTCTTATCTTCGTTAACGCATTCTCTTCATAATCTCAATTTTTCACTCGCCGGCTCACGATAAACGTAACTGTTGTTAAACTGTAATCACGTTAAATGTTACATATTATATACGCAATATATGTAACATAGCTGTTTCCTCAACCAAAGTTTCCTCAAAAAACTATAATCGCTTGACCTTGACTTTATTGCAAATTGACGTAAAATCTATCGTGAAATGATAAAGTGATTTTTCGTTATTCTTTACAACTGCGAATTTCGAAACGACGCCTTTTGCAAATAATTGATACCGCGATAGAAGAACGTACCGCATATCTCTCGTCGCCAGAAAGTTCGTTTCTTTCGTTTACTCGCTTCTTGTCGTCTCTTCTATCTTTTTCGATAGAAATCTTCCCTACCACGCGCGTTCGTTCCAAGTTTCACGTGGCCCCAAGGTCAATGAGCGTTCGTGGGAATGCCTCTACCAGGCATCAAGAGTATACATGCCTGTTATACTACACAAACATAATATCTCTTGTCCGCTACGGAGCGGTCTGGAAAAAATTTAATTTGAAAGATTCACACTCTGTCTTCAAATAATTAAATCCGTTTTGCACACATCCTAAGAGCAATTGAATATGGTACATAAAGTAGTGGGTCATCTAATAGTTAGACGACTATAACAACGCATAAAAAATTGAAAGAAATAAATGGCTTAAAAAATTATATTGATACAGAGTCTCAAGTGCTATAAAAATTTACATAATCCAAAGAGCATCGATCAGCATCGATTTTGCTGAAAGTAGGTCATCAATGTTCTCCGCAGGTTGAAAATCACACACGCAAATGTGTAACCGCTGAATATACCGAGGAAAAACGACGTCCTAACGACGCAGTGGGCATCACTTAGAAATTCGGGTGATGTCACTCTAGAGTCAAGTAACTATATAGGTTGTGAAACGACGACTTCCGAGTTGTGTCGAGAATCAGCGTAAAATAATCGTTGTCGAAGGTGCTCAATGTCAGCTACAATATATACAGTAGTGTCAAATTTCATGAAAGGCACGTAACGCCGATTAGAGCCAAGTCGAGATTGCTGGTCTCACACTCGCTCGATCGCGCAAGCCCCGTTATATTCTTACCCACCGAGAAGCTCTCACGTTGCCCCAGCTTCAATTTCCCATAGCAACAGGGGAACAACCGGATACGTCCCGAAATTTCCTTCGTTATTTAATCGCTGAGCCACGACTTCCGCGAATAAAATCAGACTATAAAATAGCGAGTTATGTTTCATACGTGTTTCCGCATTAAAACAAGTATGTCATATACCGCGTCGTTTCATATAAAAAACAATCGCGTGTCGAAATTCCTATCGTTAAATTTATCACGCAATGCATTATTCAACTTGGTGGAAAAATTCATGAACGTGAACGAAACGAACCGGTTTCAAAGATAGAGAGACTATCGAGAGAGACATCCTACTCCTTATACCCATTGATCTTTACACCTACACGTTTCCAATTATCGATGATGCGCGATTCCGTTTATAACTATTTTTATTCTTACTGACTTTAATTATCAATAACACGGTGCTTGATTAATAAAAACGTCTCGTTGTATCTGAAAGAAGATCGATAAGCATAAAAAATAATCGATAGTCCACGCTTTAGACTTCGTTCAACAAGGTACAATATATAGTAAAAGATTCTACGATCTCTCGATTCTCGCAAGCGCCACCTATCTTGGTTATCTCTTTCTATAGCTGTTTCATCAACGTTGAGTAGTATAACTTTATTTTTACGTAAAAATAATATTAGAAAATTCCGCGATGTTTTACTTCTATCTATAATTTACTGTAACTACTGTTATATGAAACCGCGTGTAACTATCATCGCGGATAAAGTATAACTAACTGTAATCGTTCTTCGTACATTTTTTACGCGCGAAATTGACACGAGATATTGAGGTCTCGTGTTCTCCCTGCGGGCTGTCCTCGCGATGTCGTAACTCCTTTCGGAGGAGAGAGAGGCCGTAGAGTCGCGCATTGCGAGGCTAACGAAGACGAGACGACAGAACGAATATCGCGAAACCAATTATGGAAAACTGATTGCTGTACGACGGGAAAAAAGGAGCGCGCGAACGGCGCACGTGCGGCTCGTCTTACGTCAAGTCTCACTTGTCGCGACACTACGCTAAGAAAGGAAAAAGATAGAAAGACAAACAGAAAGAACTTAAGAATTCTTAACAGAAAGCTCTACATGCTCCGATAGAAAATAAAAAGCTCTTTCAGAGACCGTGCTACACTTGAACGCACCGGAATCTAGGTTGAACCACGTTATCAACAACGAAAGAAAAAGAAGCTCCGCCCCGCCTGCGCAATAGGCACGTATAATTACGCGCGCGTGTCAACACGTCATCGAAACTTTTATCAACGTACTCGCGCTTGTGAATGAGCCATTGTCGGTCTGTTACATTAGAAGAAGATATATAATCATTTCTATCTGAAAAATTTTCCATATTCTCGAGCCCATTCAAACACGAGTACGCGCGTTTCTATTCTACATTGCCATAAATTTGTTTAAAATTTGCATTTTATCAAGTGATGCAAATAACTCGGATTCTAATGATTTGGAGAAAATTATGCGAGTGTCTATTGTTACGGGGGGCAGGAGGCAGATGAAACATGAAGCCACTGAGCCTACCTTGTGAGTCGCGGTGAGCCTGTGCGGCCTCCTGAGCTGCGAGGAAAACCTCATCTCCCGTTCCGGGAGCTGCCACGGAGCCCACAACACCCCCCGCATTACTTCGGTCACCGGTAACATGCCACGAGCCCATACCTGCTAAAATAAATCATCGTCCGATAAATCTCAATGTGACGTTAAATATTTACTCTTTGCATGATACGACGTTGTATATCATTAATTAAAAATTTACAAGATAAGAGTCGTGAGTAAAGATATCTCTACAAAACTGATTGTGAGAGCTACACCTCGATTTAATAATTGAATTAAAACTGTTCAATTAATATTAAGTTGCAAGTCTCGGAAATCCTTATTTAAAAATTTCGAGTGATTCGCAATTAACATGTCAGATGAAAGTAATAATAAAAACGTTATTCTAGGAACGAAGAAGGTACTTTATTCATAAACTCTTTTAAAGGTGAACAAAAATATAGGGGCACATATGTAACACCGACCAAGAAATAACGCAGCAAAACACAGGGTTTCACAATCGGAAAGTCGCACGTTTCCCTTATACAGTGGGAGTGCTTAAAATACATTTATATTATACAATATTCTTCTATATTCATAACTCGTTACAGCAAGTAATATTTGGCAAGTTACGTGAAATACCATAACACATCCGCCCCGCAGATCGTCATGCTCACATACATTCGTATACATACGTACTGAAGTCACACAAATTTTAAGTAATTTGGCTTAAATAGTCTACACGTAACACATTCAAGAAATATAGACAAATAATACTGATAGATTCAGACTATTTAAAGTTCAAATACTTTGTACATCAATACTTGTCGTACTTTGAAATTGCACGTGCGTATTATAGAATTACCGTTAAGTTAAATTTTACTAGTTCAGAAGTGATTCTTGTCGGAATTTCAATTCCCGGGTAAATGTAATGTTAACATGCAAACAGAAGAATGTCTCGGCAATGTGCATGTTATAAGAATTATGTTCGATCTTTATGTGATCTAAGAGTGAGTTTGGATCAGTCTGTTTCAAACAAACTATACAGTAATTATTAATATTAATGAATGACCGCCATTGATTGGGCTCGACGTTAAAAGAACGGTGCATAGAATGCTACGATATTCGCGCGTGTTGCACACTAAGTCCGTCTAGGCTGGACCGGGGTGAAGATTGGACTAGAAGGTTGGTGTTTCCATCTCCTCCTGACGACGTTCAACTTTTTCAAATAGAACTGCAACGTTGAGCGATTAATGCCGTACATCTCGGACGCCTGAGTGGTGCTAACCCCCTGTTGCAATATTGCCTCCAGGGACATTTTAACCGAGTCTAAGCTATACTTTCTGCCCTGCTTGTTCGCCAGTGATTTAAGCAACGCGGCTACGTCAGCGTCCGGGCGCGGCCGTCTCATGTTTGGCACTTTATTACATTCGAGGAAATGGGAAGCCCATGGGGCACCACCGCCACCATTACGATCACCATCGTCACCAATACCGAAATTCCCTCTCGACCGAGACCGCGCTCCCGCCCCCCCACCTGCAACGAGGAAACCCAAGCTAGTGTCGGCCAATTTATTACACGTCCCGTTTTAACAGATAACAAACAAAACAACGAAACGACTTCGCGACACCAAAACTATTAATTCGTTCAACGTACACAAGCCCTTCCTAATTGCGATCAAGAGAGAAACAACTGATTATCGCGATCCAGCAATACCGAAATTTCCGTTCAAGAATCACTATCCAATCGTACAAGACGTCAAGCTCTGCTTCGATCCAAATAAACTTTTTGGATCGAAGATTCGCTAATGTCGTTGACTCTTTCTCAGAGCATATAATTTTATACAAAACGCAATTACTCGCTACGTATACTCTTCATATTTTTTTTTACATGCGCAACGCTACTTAGCGATGCGCAAGTTTAAATGCATATATATTACAATTCACATTGCCTCTAAGTGAGAAAAAAAACCCTGCGTTTCGCTACGATAAAAAAACAAAAATTATAAATAATGAATACATTATTTGAAACTTACCGGGGTGTTGGGCGGGGTCATGGGACGGTCCAGCTCGATTGTTGTCCTGTTCTATGTCATTAAGATCATTCATATCTTCATCCAGCGTTAGGTCTTCGACACCCTCCTCAGCGTCATCTAGGTATTCAGACTTTGGCTCGATGAGATTATCATTTGGCTCGGGTTTTTCGAGTGGCAGCTATAGAATATTAAAACGCATTAGAAACCTTAAAAGAATCTCCATGGAACAAAACACAATCCGCAAAAGAGAAAATTGTCTCGAACCGTTTCCACACTGCAGCGGTAAGGAAAAGGTAAAACCAAAAGCAGTAGAATAGAGAACGATTTTTCTTTACCAACGAAGCGAAAGAAACAGCGCTTTTAACGACAGCCTCTATTAGAGCGTTGGTACACGCAAAAAAGAGAGAGAGAGAGAGAGAGAGAAAACGGAAGAATTCGTCGAACATATTTTACCTGCAACATCTCATCGGCAGGTTTCGTCAACTGCGTCATTAAAGCTGACCTGCCGAGAGAGTCTGTTGGGTCTGCGTGTACTTTTTCGTCTGCCACTGGCGTGATACCAAGCGCCGGTACACCCATTTGCTGAGGCATGTCGCTGGAATTCGATGCATCCTGATTTTCTATCGTACTATCTTCTGTTAAACTTCTTCTTCGAAACCTTTTTCTTTTTCTTGATGTTGGACTTTGTGAACCTTCCCTGTAGGAGCAAAAAAAACGTAAAAATTAGCGATATTTTTTTAACGAGTAGGTTACATTCACATCTAAATTACAACATAATGAAATTGCTCTCCCTTGAAAACTCACCTCGAGGACATTCCTTTCGACACCTGAGGACTAGCCGTATCCTCTGGTATATCCCCCACGGAACTTTGCGCCAAACTCTGCCTAGGAACTTTGTTCTTTTCTATCGTCAGACCGGAAGACGCGTGTGGAATGTCTAACGATGGTGCTGTTGGTTGTGAGACGGTTTTCTGTAGCCTGGACTCCGTCTTACTACTGCCAGCAGTTTTACTTTCCGAAAGGCCCTTAATTTGCAGAGACTCAGCGGCTTTGAGGAGTGCTGCCAGTTGGTCTTGGGAAATATTTACTTCCCCTCTGTACATATAGTCCATCATTGCCTTAAGTTCTTTGAATTTAACATCTTTGAGTATAAACACTGGATGCTTGTCATAGTGTTCGCTGAGGAGGCACTGTAATACAAAAATACATCATCTTTTTCAGACAAACGAGTACAATATATAGTATAAAGTTACAAATATATAATAATTTATTTTCCTAATTTATATTTAATGTAGATGTTATATTTAACATTTGCTTTCTACATTTACTTTCTGCAAGTTTAAACATTATTTGTCGATTACATGGCATAAGCACAAGTATTTATTTAGTAGTATTAAAGTATTGATCTCTCATATATTCTATATTACAGCTAAGAATGCAAAGTTCTGCATCTGGGACGAGCCAACATCTACAGGCACACACATACGATTCGAGCATATTATTAATTTTCATAGAGCAGCATTATTGCAACAGCCGCTCTTGCATCCCCACCCATATTAGGGTAAAATCCCAGGGCAAGTGCCCTGGAAATCAGCCATCTTGCTTTCCTTGTATTGATCAAGAGGACCTAGGAGGGGGCTTCAGGCTTTTGCTCCCCACTCTCCCCCACTTCACCTCCTCCTACACTTCTGCCCAGGCAACGTTCAACAAGCACGGCCATCTTGTTTCAACTTGAGATCCCCTTCCTCCCCCCCCCCCCCTCCCTTGCTTCTCAACAATCTATCTCACTCCCTCCCAACATGTTTCGTATTGATCTAACCCGACTGAGCCAAATGGACAAAGAAATAAAAGGGGAAAAGCTTCATGCGGCACACAATTATTAATATAATTTGTTACGTTCACAATTATTCTTTTGAATAAAAATTCTTTCAATTGTAATTCGCATTTTTACCAATAAATAATTGAAAATCATTAATAAAATTGTATCAACGTTGCTAAATTATCGCAATTATTTCTACTTTCAAATATGGGCAATAATAATCTAAAAATTTATTATTACAATAATGTAAAAGAAAAAAGAATCTTGCTCGAGATTATAATCAATCTCAAGAAAATATTAAGGAAATAGAAAAGACCTACAAGATCTAATATCTTGAGAGAAAAAGAATTGCTTCAGAATATCTCTAGGAAGATGGGAAAGGATTGTAGGATTAAATAATGATAAACAAAACATTTTTCTTACCTCAAAGTATGGACTGCACGCGGAGAGGACTACTTTGTGGGCCTTGAGAGTCTTCCCCTCCGCCGCCAGGGTGCAGTCGACCAGCGTCCCGCTTTCAAGGAGTGTGTCGAAGTTTTGTATGAGCGTACTTTGGTGGTTGTTCCACCTGAGACAGAACTGCTGGTCGTCCTCCATGGTAGTTCTGGCTTCGTTTCCTCGTTTCTGCACAGATGAGAAAACAAGCGTGAAAAATGACGTATCGTACTAAAACCACGAACGTAAAATCAGATAACGTAAGAGTGCGGAACCTGCCGACAGAATCGTCCTCTCTCTTCCTCTCTCGCGCTATCTCTCCTAACCGTACTATCGATCGACCGAGCGACCCGACGCTATCTCGTCCTCCCGCGACTGATTATTATCGCGCACATCGAGCCGAACGACGTACCCGGTAAAGTACGTCTCTCGACTTTCGTACCGATCCGGCAGTCCTCTTCCGTCGCGCTCTCACTCCCTCTTTCTTTCTCTCTCTCTCTCTTCTTTTTCGCACGCGGCCCTCGCGGGAGGACGACGGAGGCAAAAGCTCCGTAACGAAGCGACGAAGCTTCCAAAATGGCCGTATGAGCGATGCGTCGGTCGGATCGCTCTTCTAGCCTTCTCCTTTGTGCGTGTCTGGTAACGGTAATGGACTGCCTGGTGGGGATGATGCAGGAGGACGCGCAAGCACCGCGCACGCGCACTCGCGACGTCCGGGCTGCGCGTACCGCTTGCACAACGACCGCGCGGA